ATGGGGTATTCAGGTATTCTTTTGTTTTTTTTTTTGGGCAGGATTCGCGCGAGCGTATTTCATTTAAGCCATCAGGAACATGAAAGCAGCTCGCCTAACTAAGCCGATTTAAAAGCGCATTTGAATTCAAATGCCGTAAAATGAAATAAAAACTGAAAACTAAAAACCATCACAATTCCCACCGATGTCGAGCCAAAATGGCACAAAAACTGTCTGCAAAGTTTGCGCTTGAAGTTTTTAGTTTTTCGGGCAATGCAAAAATTATAATCCCTTAAATGGCAATCGGGTAGGCCAAGCCATACCCCTTTACCGTCCAGTTAAGCAAATGTTGTCTATGCATTAAGCGTGTGGGAATTGTAAAATGTTTTCTAATTATGCTCTATACGTTGTCTCGAGGTATGTGTAAAATGGACTCTTCTGCTCTTTGAGAATCAAAGTGAAATGGGTGAGCTTCAAGTTTAATTTTTTTAGGTCTATGTGATAGGTTTTATCGTTGTTTTCTAAGAGATAGAGCGAAAGAAGTTGGACTTCGAAACTTTTAGTAATTCTTAGCGTAGAGAATAGTAATATGTCTAAAAAATATTATCTCTTCAGCTTAATGATAATGACATTTAAGAATTATTGGCCTATATGTTGTTCTAGATTTTCTTAACTCTAATAATAATCTATTCTGACAGAATGGACATACATTTATTTGTAAATATTGTCATAATTATTATTATTATCATTATTATGGCACTCGAAAATATCTAAGTAATGTTAACTTTATATCAGAAGTAGCATTGACTAATACCTGACCTACACTAAATCCCTACACTATTCGAGGACTCGAACTCGAATACTCATTATTTTACATGGACAAGCCATCAAGCGCGAACTGAATTTACATAAAGCACAATTCAGTTTTGGAGAGAATGCACTTTTCAAATTGTGTCCGCTATAATTCACAACTAGTTAAAGCGTTGCTTTGGTGTAGTTTCAGCTACAAGGCATACTTCTGTTATTGGTTAGGAGGCTTACTGGAATCTACCACCCAAGCCGAAGCTGTTATCAACTCGAGCTGCAATTTTTTGACCAGCTTGTGACAGGGTATGCCATAGACAAACATTTTCCTCTTTGCATTGCCTTGAAAAGCGATGCAGTGAGTAATGACAGCTGGAAAAATGGTTGTAGGAAGCCGCACCAATTAAGCCTGTCCAGACGTGCAGCAGACGCAAGTTCAAGGCAGAGACGTTGACAGAGGCCCATAAATCACTCACTTAGCTGGCCGGCTGGCCGGTTGGCTGGCTGGCTGTCAGGACTTGTATCCTTTGTCCTGGCATTCCGTTTGCTGCTTTTTGTGTGAGTGTGTGTGTTGGTGTGTTTGTCATGCATTTGCACTATTGCTCACTCATTTGACTTTTTCCACGCGTTTTTGATTAAGCATACTTTTTTAAACTATTTACATTTTTGTTTCCTTTTTTTGTTTTTATCATTGCCAAAGCGGAAGCTGCAATCGCCATTTTCCATTTTCTCCACTTGATATTTTGTTGTTTTCTTTGTTTTTTACGTGATCCTGGTGTGTTCCATTATTGTTTCCTTTGATTTATACTCGGTTTCAAGTGATTTCCGCCAGCATTCAACACTTTATGTTTGCCTTTCGGTTTTGGCCAGCGACATTTTAACCAAAACTCTTAAGTGCGAGCATTTGTCATTTGACTTTTGCCGGGGTCTTTTTTATTGCTGCTGGTGCTACCGCGGTTTCGGTTTCGTTTACGGATATTTGTGTTGCTTTTGGCCGTGGCTGCGGCTGTGGCTGTGGCTTTGGCTTTGGCTTTGATTTGCGGTGCTTAATCGTTGGCGTCGTCTGCGGTTCGCTCTTTTGGTTTCTGTATGCAGATTCGTAAATGCTTTCGCCCGTGCAGCTCATAAATTCTTTGCAACTTTTATTTTTCGCTCCTTTATGTTTTTTTTTTTTGAAGGGGAGTTCTGCGCGTAATTGAAAGCAGCAGGGTGGCTACTGTGGCTTACTGGGCAGCTCCACCATTTGAAGCTCACCGAATTTATGGCAGTTCAATGTGCAGCTACGGGCCGAAAATACCATATAACCATCGCCTGCCAGCGAGCTATTGATTAAAGTGTTCGCTGGTGGCTTACCCAAGCCGTGGCCCGGGGCTACAGTGAATGCCTTGTAATCTGTCAAAATTAGCAGACTTCTGCAGCAAACGGAAGTGCGGGCAAAAAACTCCAAACTTAAACAGGTTATTTAATGCTACACTTTCGGTCCAATCTAAAGGGCTAAACTCGGGTTCATTGTCCTCAATCGCGTTGCGGGCGTGGTTTTTGACTTTGAACTCACTTTTTTCTTTCATTTTCTTGTGCCAACTTGCTGCAATTTGTAGTTTCAATTTGATTGTACGCACGATTTTTATATATACCCTGCAAAAAAAAAGAGGCTGTCAGCTGGGCTGCCTACACTATAAGTGATAAATATATATGCTAATACAGCTAATTTTGTCTAGCACAGCTTTTTGTGCAACTGACCCAGCCGATCTCGGGGCCAGACTTATTCGATATACATATATTATATAATATCTAGAACATAATCGCAGCAATAAAATGAATTCAATCATATTTCTTATGTTTTTAGATCATTTTCAGGCCTTATCAAAGGGTAACTCCAAGTCGGACAGTGTTAAATTGTTTTGTATGGTTTCTCTGGGACTTTCAGACATATTAATGTGAGGCAAGTAAGCCAAAGACGATTGAATTGATGCATGGAAAGCGCACAACGATTGCGGTAATTACGTATGTAAGTATGCAGTGTAATATCTTGGGTACCGCACATCATCGTATCATAATCATCAGCTTGAATGACGACTGTGTGTACAGGGACTGTATGAAATTGAAAGTTTTGCCGCTCACCATAATGGACTTTCACATGGCGCGGACAAATTATAAAGGCGCGACGATGCCGTTGACATTATCTGCGAGTTGTCAGTTGGATCCACAGCTCAGCTGTAATTGATCATGGGAGCTCTTGGCTCAAATATTTGCGCCCAAGACAAACAGAAATTGAAACCGGGCCCAGAATATCACATCGATGTATCTCTAAGCTGCACAAATAAAAAGCAGACGGACCAAAAAAAAAAAAAAAAATAAAACACAAATTCGTATTAAGCGATCAATAATCATTGTAAATACGCCGATGTGACGCCACCGGCGATAAGCTAGAAATATTAACGCATAAGCAGGCGAGAAGCAGTCAAAAAGGCCAAGCCTGGGCCTGGACCTGGGCCTGGGTTTGGGTCTGGGACTGGGTCTGGGTTTGGGCATGGACATGGGCCTGGCATCGGGTCTGTTGTTGTGCCTGGCGCGACGTAGATAAACAATAGAAAAGCATAGAGAACGGGTCAGCATTGAGAGCTAAATGCTTGCGGCTGCCTTGGGTTTTGGCCTGGCTCAGACTCCGACTCAGACTCAGACTCTGGCTGGGCAACGATACAAAGTAAGCGAGCGCATTGAATGCAAAAATACCAAAAAAACGATGCTGGACACTCAATGATGATGATGATGAGCATAGCAAATACAAATTATGGTTGAAAAGCGCAACGTAAATACTGCAATCATTTTAATAGACCAAAAACGGCGGCGCATAAACCATAAACCAAACGCCAGGCCCCCCCTCGATACAAGCCAAGGTTCTATGAGAAATTGGAGGCGTTCATGCGAAGACTGCCAAAGTGCAAGACTGCGGCTGGAGAGCCGAAAAAAAAAGAGTTCTGAAGACCTGGCAGATGCGAAGCGAGTTGCATTCACAACATTGGCAACAACGGCACGCGAACAGCGAAAATTGCAGTCGATGATGCGGTTTTATTACACAAGTTTAGCTCGGAAATTAGCGTAGATAAATTTCTAGCTGGAATTCCTTTCCCTCTGTGCTGGACGATGACCAATGCTCGATAGTGGGCTGGGCGCAAACGGCACGCAAACTTTCCAGCCTCTTTTCATCCATTTGGGCATTCCAAAGCGTTTCGCGCTTTAGTGGCGTCTTCTGATCCACAATCATGGCAAATTATATTGAAAATTCTCTAATTCTGTTTGCTGCTACTCAAATGCCGGGCATCAATAGGCATCAACTATAACCAGGAATTTTTGAATCGGGCTGATTCTCCCCTTTTTTTTCTCCACACAGACAGACAGCTAGCAGCACACTTAAGACAATTAGACATCTTCAGGCATCAGTTACTTAGCAATGCCTCGCAAGCGGCCCATGATATAAAACAGATGCTAATGCTACAGTACGTACTCAACTCCCCCGTCAACCCTCTGAGTTAGCCCTCTGGCTGCTGCCGCTGCTATTTCTTCTGCTCTTGGTGGTGTCTTTTTCATGTGGATGGCAATTCGATGCGTTTATTTTTGTGGTCGTTGCCATCGCCGGCTCTGTCATGGTCTCTCTTTCTCTCTCACTTGGTTTGGCGCTTTCGGCGCATGCGCATGCGCTCTCAAAGTCTACACAATTTTACAGTTTGTTTTGCTCGACGTATTCGTAACACGTGCAATGCATTTTGAACGAAGCTAGCAAGAAGGAAATGATTGCATGTCAGGTAAAGAGAAGTAATGTAGTTGAATTTGGATTATATTATTAAATGTTGAGAATATTGTTTTCTTTCGGGTGTATCGCACGAAAACAGTTTAGCATATGCGGTGCATTAAAATTTTTGGTAATATTTATGTGCATTTGCAAATATTTCGATTATTATAACGGTTTTATCACGGCTTTCACTATGCATACTGATCGACTTGGAGACCGGCTTTCAGCTCCACGTGCCGCTTGGTTTTAATTCTGTTTCTCTTTTATTCGCTCTCCACGCTCTCACTGAACTGCCGGCACTGAAAAAGTCTACAAAGCTGGCGCCAAAAACTCGCCGCCAACACCATCCACAGACCATCACATGCGTTCCACACGGAGCCCATTGTGCTGCAGCTCCAAGCGAACGACCCAAGCAGTTGCTGTTGAAACGTCGTCGCGAACGCACGCTTGGAGCGCATCTAACGCGTAGCTAATTCGGCAAACAGTCGCGTGTCTCTTCGTTTCGAATTCGGTTTTGGTGTCGGTTTCGGTTTCGTTTTCGGTGCGGTTCGATCGTGTTTGGCTGCAATTGAGGCGCTTTTCTCGGCAATTGCATTCGGCAATCGTTTTGATTGATGAACTCAACTGAACTGAACCCAGTTGTCCACTCGGACTCGTTCAGTGCAGTCGGTGAATCGCGCGTGTTGTCAATCTTGATGGGCGGCCACAGGCTTCACTCTGTAACCGTTGACAATTCAAATCGAAAACTCAAATCAAAATCCAAATACTACTAAAAATCAAAAGTATCCGGTGTGCAATCAAATTTTTTGTGTGCTATCCAATTTGTTCTTATTACCGTCGCGTTGTGACGCTTTCGCTTTCGGTCATTTTGTGTCCCGGGGTTTTATAGCGGTCCCTGCAGGCGCTTCCTTCTAATAACCCTCCAGTCAACAACGGCCAAAAAAACAAACAAAAAGACAAATACAAATATATTGATACAAATATATACATATATATACACGCATATAAAACAAGTTCAATTCGCATTTCAAAATGTTTATCGAGTTCGCGTTGTCGTACGCCACCAGCCCCCGCTTATGGCCAACCCCCAGCTCAGACCCAGCGTCGTCGTGTGCTTTGCCTTCATAAATTATACAAGCGCATTTCTGTGAACGACTTGCAAATAAATAAGCATTTACGCTTTTATTATTGTGCCGAAGTGTGTGTGCACTCGCGGGTGTGTGTGCGTGTGTGTGTGTGAGAGAGTCTCGCTTGTTCTGCAGAAATCGGTCCCATGCGGCGCAAAGTTGCCCAAACGCAAACCCAACCGAAAGCAACAACAACAAAAGGCAAAGCGAGCAGCTGCCAGTGCTTATAAGTAATATCATCTTTAGCATACAATCATATTTGGTCTCTCGTTCGGTCTTGATTTGTGTGTGCCGATAGCGACGCGATCTGTGAATCTGTAAATCTGTGAATATCATCATAAGATACAAGCACAAATATACTTTAGGTAAGCATTGGTCGTATTACGCATACGCACATTGAACTTTAGCTTTAAGTTCAAATTTATAAAAGCCGAGTGCGTTGACTTGATGCGCACATACAGACACTCGTACACGTTTGTGCAACCTATTATAAGCGCTTGAGTTGCTTGCAACGTCATTCGACGTTATGCAAATACATAAGCAGCAGTAGCAGCAGCAGCAGCAGAGGCAGCAGCCACATCCCGAGGCCCTCGCATCCTTTTGCCCCGTTGTCATCATCAGTGAGCTGCATAATTGGACCAACTGGCAAATGGCTCTATAAGTATGTGTGTGTGCGTGTGTAGCCGTGTCCATGTGTGCCCCATTAGTGTTTGTGCTGGGTGTCTCTAACTGCCTCTAATGAATAAATAAGTGCCACTAATAGTTTTCGCACTTCCTGCTGCCATGCAACAGCGGCCACCGATAGACCGCAATGGGAGCCACCTCATCAAATTGCAGTTGAGTGCAAATCTTGACAAACAAAGCCAACAACAGCATCGCTTACATGTTGACAATATTTAATTAAGAAGCAGCAACAGTCAAGGCTGCAACAACAACGACAACATAATTGTTGAGTCAATTTGGTGGCTTTTTTTATGCCCTTGCGTAGGGTACTAAAAATTGATCACAAAATCTGTAACGCATTTCAGCATATATATGTATATATTCTTTATCAGTATATATGTATATACATATATATATAGTATATAGTAAAGAGTCGTACTGTCTTTGTCTGTCTATGTGACGTCCTGTGTCTATGCGAACTAGTCCTTCAGTTGTGCAGCTCAATCTATGCAATCCGTTTGTTTGCTGTGGACATGTCGGATTCCGCCGAATCAGGCTACTTTACAGTTGACATTGGAACAATCAGTCGGAAAATGTGTTTTTGTATGAACAACTGCGAGCTTAAGTGTGATGCATACCAAATCCTTTCCATACCAGATGTGCATATAACCTCTAAAAAAACTGGTATACAAATATATCCTTAGAGAACTCAAAAATAACATAGAGCCACCAAAGCAAAAATCTTTTAAAAATAAGATATCTCTACTGAATTCAAAAATTAAGATATAATATGTAGTAGCACTAGCAAAAATCTGTTAAAGTGATTATATCTTTACAGAACTCAAAAATAATGAGTTTCACTATGTTCCTCACGGAGAAGCTTCGGACTACTATAGATCTATATAGCTGCATAGGAAAATGTTTTTGTTTTTCAAGATTTTGCCTGAACTCAGCAACAAACAAATAAATACAACATACCTTTCAGAAGCGAAAAACTTTTTTTTTTAGAATATTTTTACCAAACCTACCATGTAGTCAATTTCCGCACATTTGCTTTAAGTCTGCAAGGGTATTTAATCTCCGACGTCCAATTTATGTTTGTGTTTTTTTTTTCTTTTTTTTACTTTGCTGCCACAAAATTCTGTGGGCCGTGGCAAACAAGTCAATTGGCTGTCGCGACGGTCGCCGTCAACGTTGTTGTCGTAATAATTTTATTTGCCATTCCCACACAAACTGTGGAGCAAAAACTTTATGAATATACCCATAGCATGTTTCTAAGCATGTTTCGGTATTTTTTTTTCTCCTTTTTTTTATAAACATTTATTTTGCATTTTTATAGTGCAACTTTGTCACATTTATCGCCGCTGACTGCAGCGCTCGGAACATTTCCTCTCACAACTATTTCGCTGGGCGGATGTGTCTGCTCCTCATCTCGAGATACCTGCGACCATCTTCGAGATAAACATCTCTGCCAGACGGAGACAGCGCTGCGATGACTTGCGCAAGTGAAAAATAAAATAAGAAAAAATAAAATGGCTAATAGATATAATTGTAATAAAAATACAAGTGCCCGGGCATTACATTTTCCATAGAATTTTCTGACCGGCAGCAGCAACTTCCTCATTTGCTTATCTGTTGGGTTGGGCAATGGCCCTGCGCCTGATTTCCCTGACGCAGACTCATCAACTTTTAATTAGTTGTAATTTGTAAATTCAACGTCAAGCGCAAACCACGAACGCACCGACCGAAAGGGGGCCAGTGATAGGGGGCGAGGCAACCTCTTTGATGCTGCCGCAACTGCCGCGACTGCTGCTGATGATGATGTTGCCGCTTTGTTGCCACACTGACAGATTGCTGATAAAGACGCCCCGACCCCAACCCCGCCCACCGCTTCGCACGCTAAACAAACGCTAAGCATAACCGTCTAATCGGGTAAGCTGTCGCGGCTGGCTTTGGTTTTTGGCTTTTGGGTTTCCGCATCCATCAAACAGCTGTCAGCGGGGGCGGCCTAAAGGATTGCCCTCAGCTTGACAATTAAATTGCGTTAAAACGTTTGAGCATTTGTTTGCACAGTGACCCCAGATAAATCGTTAACACCAGGCAATTGATATTTCCACAAGGTTCAAATACGTTTGAAGTTATCAATCTGAAGAGTTGCTATTCCATAAAATCCATTTGACTTATGACACTTTTAGCTGTTTGTCCAGGGTGACGATTATTTAAATGCATATTTATGGTATCACGATGTGGTTGACATTTACTTGCTTAAAAGATATTCAAGTCGAGAATTTATTTATAGATTGTCAATTTTATTTGTAAATTTGTGGATAATTAAGCCTGGGTATTATCCAGTATGAAGCTTAAAAAAATGTTTATTTTTTAAAAATAATTTTAGTCTTTAGTTAATTCTAATTTCTAGTTTACTAGAGAGGATCTTAATATACTTCCCTTGCGAGCTGAATTAAGACTTAATATGGATGAGCTTATGTTGAAGTTTACCACTTTCCAAGTGCCATCAAATATAATTATATGATATTTAAATAAACAGTCAATTTAATGACTTATAGTTATTTTCACCCAACTAGCCAGAGAGCCATCAAACTTTGAGTTTTAAGTGCTCGCATCCGGTCCTTTAATTAGCAACTTAAACTAGGCAAATATAATAAACATATTTTGTGCTAAATAAAAACTTTACGAACTAATTTTATGGCTGTTGCAAATTTATAAAAATTGTTTGACTTTTTATTACCCTTACGCAAAAACAAGAACAAATCTCGTGTGACACAGAAGCTGGCCTTAAAGCAACAACAACAACAACAACAAGAACTAACAACTAACTAACAGCAAAAACAAGCTCTATAAATCCGAAGCCAGGGCACTTAATTAATTTCTGCAGAAATAGAAAAAAAAAATAGTAGGTAAAACTTTAAGAACAAAGGACCAAAGTTGTTCAGGTCCTAGCCTAGTTGCAAGTTAATTTCCAATTTGACGCAACGGCAGCAGCAAAAAACACTAATGTCATACATAGAAACAACAACAATAAGAACAACAACAACAAGAACAACGAGAACGAAATCAGTGCATGGCCCGCACCCCGTTCGATGGCCACTGCAACAGTAAAACTAACTGCAAACTTGCAGCAGTAAAAAAAAGAGGCAGCAAAATAATAAAAAACGACAGCAGCGAGAACAACTGGCTAAAAAGAGGAAGCAGCAGTAATGCTTGCACCAGTTTCCCAGCAGTTGAAACAGTTACCTGGGCGCTAAACAAAAACACAAAAGCACCACCAACAACAACAACAACAGCAACTAAAAGACACTGCACACTAACCAAGTGAACCGAGATGCGGAGATGTCGAGCTCTGGAGCTGCCAAGAAGGCAGCCAGGCGGAGGCTGCTTTAGAAAGTAGCCAAGAAAAGCCAAAGCCAAAGTTAAAGCTAAAACTGAAGCCGAAGCTGAAGCTGAAAGAGAAGCAGAAGCTGAAACTGTGGACAAAACCCGTTGCCTTCATCAACAACGTCGCCTTTGCGTGATGCAATTGCCAGCAACGCGCCAAAAGATTGAAAGCAACGACACAGCAGCCACGTAACTAGAACACTTGACGATGTTGTGTGTCAACGTGAGTGTGTGTTTGAGTGTGTGTGTGTGTGTGATGCAACAGCAGCAGCAACTGCTGCAACTGCTGCAACTGCTGCTGATGCGCTTTTACCTAGCCCCGCAACAATTTCCAATTAAAGCAGCTGCTGCTGCTGTTGTTGTTGCTGCTTCTGGTGCTTGCGCAATCATACGGCAACTTCTGGATGCATCATCCCGGGCATTGGCAATGTCTTATGTAAGCAACTGCGATAGGAAGCCATCGGTAATGGCCTTAAAATACACACTTTATGCCCAGGCAGCGTCTCCAATTAGAGTTTAGTTAATTGCAGCGCGCCAAAGTTGCTCATTAGATTTCTTAGAGGGCCACGCTGGGACGGGTAGCTGCTTGCCCTCCAAATGCCGCCGCCGCGCCCAGTCGGAAGCTAACGGTAACCCGGCCCACTCCAACATAAGGTTACTGCCCCAACGTCAACGGCCAAAACTAATTGATCATTAAGTCTATTTCCGCACCAAGTTGGCAATGGCAAAAGTTGAGGTTGAATTTTCAAAGTAAGTCATAAAGCGCTAGCGTTTTTATGACAACAACTAGAACAACAGGCATGTTGCACGCAACACCAGCAGCGACAACAACAACAACAACAACAACCAGAAGAACAGAAACAACTATCGAAACGCGATGACGCTGCCTAAATGATGACGTTGCCTTGAACCGAACTGGGTGGGGCATACTGCGCACATCAGGGAACAGACGAAATATCTAGTACATTTTGAAGTTTTATGGCTACAGAGAATGGGCGTGATGGAAGGGAATGGAAATAGATAACAACAACAACAACGAAAGTCATAAAAGCAAATGCGCTGCATAACAGAAACTCGATGGAGAAAAAAAGAACTGGGTAAAATCGATTTGTATTTCTTTGTAATGCGGCCTGATGAAGATTCCAATGAAGTTTTAAGAGAAAGAGAGAGAGAGAGAGAGAGGTACGAAATCTGAAACAAAAGGCGCAACGAATCGTTGCAGTTGATCAGGGCTAAAGAAATGTTGATGGATAATTCAAGCAGACAAAGTGAAAGGGACGTTGCACGGCTGTCTAAGATGTTATTC